ATAATTGGATTGCCAATAACAGCATCATGTAGATTGACAGCCAAAATGAATTTCTGGACATCTTTCAAGCATGTTATAAAATCTATTTTATTTTTTAAAGCTTTTAATAAAAGATAGAATGCAGAATAAAGGAACTCTCCAGGATTTGTTCTATGAAGAATAACTTGTACAGATTAATCCATATATTTACAGTATATATTCTATATTCTGAAAATTACCAATAGATTGTAAGTAATAAAATACACAAGATAAAAAAAATCAAGTTATCAGAGCTTGGAATTACAAAACCATCCATTACACCAATTGAACTTATTTCTAATCAAGTCATTTTGAAAAGAAGAACAAATACTGCATCGCTTTGATTCATTTCACTGTCCGATGCATTTCTCTTATGAAAGAATATATGTAGCTCAGGGTTAAACTGTGAAGTTCTTGGTGCTCTCTGCGTTTGATTGTCTGCTTCTAGACATTTAATTAACTGACTAGGTAACCACATCAACAGAGCTAGCGAGTCTGGGGTTTGCTCCCTGTTTATTGCCCATTTCTCAGATTTCTTGCTTGCCTTTTTGGGCATTTCATTTGGGGAGAAAGAGAACCTCTGGTACAAAGGAAAAAATGATCCAGGATTTGTTTCTGTACTATCCAGGTAAAGAAATTAACTACAAAAGAATGAATTTTTAAAAGGTAGGAATTTGTTTGCTGTCTTGAATTGACAAAATATGTACATAGGTGGAACTACCAGGTGTCCACATAGCAGATATACAGACCAGCTACATTGGTATCCCATGGTGTCATAGTAGCCATAGGGTGAGACAAGAATGGCAGCAACATCCAGTACCACCAAAAGATAAGACAGATCCTGAACAGCTAGTTCAATAAAAATAACAAGTTCCATACCATCAATATTCACACTCTGACAGTCATCAGATACTCTGCTGATATAATGAATTAGCCAAGGATAACTTGGAGGCTGCCAATGTGAAGAACTAGAAATTCCTCAAAACGTAGAGATTTCCATCCAACATCCAACCCCCAGCCAGAAAGAGAACAGATCTGGTGAGTGTCAAAGCCACTGTCCTGGATATAGCCTTCTAACCTAATAGGTATACAATGAGAAATTCTAGGGTGTAGCTACCTTGAGTCTCTTATCTCTTCCCTCATCTAGCTCTGGACTGCAGTCTCCTAATTTGGGTTTCTCTATGGAATATTCTGCCTCCTTCCTGAAAAGCTCCACTATGTCTTCAGATGCACATTCCATCACACTCATAAACTGGGAGTGTGGCTCCAACAAATCCTAGGAATATCATCACAGCTCTCTGTCCAGAAATGCAGTGCAGTGCTAGGAAGAGCTAAGATACTGTGCAGAAGTCTCAAACTCCCAAGCCCAGGCCATATATCACCCATAAATAAATAAAATGTGGGATAAAATCTAATAATAGCAATAACGATAATAATGGTAAAAAGTCAAATTTAATTATAATGTTAATTCCATTTCCATTTTTCTTTAATTCACTAAGAAATAGTGAAATGCCTTTTCACTGTGCTCTTCTTTATGTACTCTTACTGTATTTCATTAAGCTAGTGTAAGTTAGTTTTCAAAAGACGTTGTAACTGTATTGTAATCATTTGCCCTGCAAGGTATCTGTGCATGCTTTCTATTTGGTCAAACCAGATATGGTAATCACACTTATTAAAAAAAAAAAAAAGGTGGGTAGGTTATGAAGACACTTAAAATAACAAGGTAAAGAAAACATGCAAAACAGAATCCAATTTTTTCCAATATCTATAACAGCATTGGCCATTGGAAGTGTCTTTATTTTCTTCTTCTTATAATAAACTATATGTGGAGCCTGGATAGCTCAGCAGACTAATGTATTGTAATTTAACTCCAGCTGTCTGCAATTAGTAAGTTTGAATCTTGCCAGGCTCAAGGTTGATTCAGCCTTCCATCCTTTCTAAGGTAGGTAAGTTGAGGACCCAGTTTGTGGGGGCAATAAGCTGATTTTGTAAAAAATATACAAAAGTATGAAGGCTATTGCTTAACGCATTGTAAGCCGCCTGAGTCTCTAGAGAAGGACGGCATATAAATCAAATTAAAAATAAATAAATAAACTATATGTGTACACTGGGAAGCAAAGGGTGAGCTACATGTGCTCCCATCTTAATCTCATGACCGGAGAGGGAAAGAGCTTCGACCAGCTACTTAACTATATCTTCCATAGGGATATCCTGGAGAAATGTTCCTGGATTTTTCTTTCCTCTGCATCTTTTGCACAATCCAGCTCATGCTTTCCTTTGCTATCTTTCCCCCCACAAATCCAACTTGATTCTGTTTTGCTCAGTTTCTGGAGAGTTACCGTGTTTCCCCAAAAATAAGACCCTGTTTTATATATTTTTTTTGAACCCTGAAATAAGCGTTTGGCCTTATTGCCATGCACTCAAAAGCCCGATTGGACTTATTATGACAGGATGTCTTATTTTGGGGGAAACGGTATTATGCCAATAGCCATAACTCCTTTTACACAATTTCTTTCTACATTCTGTTGGATTGGAAAAGAATAATACTAAAAGGTAGTTTTACTATTTAGAGTCAATGAGTTATCTCTTACCAACAAAAACAAAAGATTGAGAAGTGAGAATGACGGATAAGTGTATAAAATACTGAAGCTGCATTTTTTAAAAACAGACTGGTTTATTAGTTTTACTAGACCTGCTGTTTATTTTTATTTTGCTTAAATGTAAGAGAATTTTATTTATTTTGATGAAGTACTAAATGATTTTTAAACATTTGTTTGTTGTCAATATTTAAGACTCTATTCAAGTAAGTTATTCAGAAATATTTTTCAGCCCTGAAAATACACATAGAAGAAAAATCTCTGTGCATGTTCTAGAGATCTATTTCCTTCCTTCCAAAAAGAAGAGTGGAAGTACTTATCTAGAGCTAAAAAACAAAGGAGAACAAAGTCTTAGGACAATTTCAGGAACAGAAAGTGTATTTAAATTTGAAAAACAAGTTACATTTTAGTGTACATCGTCATATTTTGTTTCTGAGAAAACTCTTCAAAATATTTTGCTTTTGTAAATGTCATGACCAGAAGATACGTTTCTGAAAATGCTAATTGTTTATCTTTGTGTCAGCAATTTTTAATCATCTCATCACAATATCCACAAAACAGATTTACTAGCTACTATCTCAAATGTCACTCTGCTAGAGGTGCTATGGGAGTATTTAGTAGTAAAGGTCACCATGCAGGCATATATACTAAGGCACTTGTCAAAGTGGAATTATTATGACTTGTCTGTATAGGCAAATTGATATAAACACAGAAGAAAATAAAAATTTCACACTTGATGATTAAGAGTTATGTTAGAAAAAAATAAGGTATGACTTCCAGCACCAGGTATGAGTACTGCTTTCTTTGTGTAGAAATTAACAATACAATCATAAAATATATCAATTCAGAAGTCTTACTCCTAGGCTGTTAATTCGACATGACCATGCTAAACTCAAAATATATTCATGTTATGGAAGATAAGTGGGTCATCCAATGGCCTGCAAAGTAATTGTTTATGTTTACTCATATATCAGTGGAGTGTTATCCTAGATAACAGTATACAATTGAAGGTTTAAAAGCTTGAATTTTACCTGAAATCCCATTTATTTATTTATGGAAAAATCTCATTAGGTTGTAATGACAGCTTGTGACTCAGTTGTCAGTAGTCCAATACAGTTAGTTTCATTCAAAGTTGTGACAGTGCTGACTGTCTGACTGAGTGATACTATTGGTCCTCGAAAGTTATAGCTATCACACCAGTTCCAATGATTACAATCTGGATGCTTGGCAACCAGTTTACTTAACAATGGTTGAAGCAACCTATAGTTACATGATTGCCATGTACAACCTTACCTGCCAGCTTCCCACAAGCAAAATCAATGAAGAAGTTCCAGGAAAGGCCATAAGTTGCTCCAGTAAGTCTTCCTTGCCCAACTGCAGCCACCCTTGGGCCTGAAATTGCTCTTGTTCATCACTGCAACCATCTGCACAGCTCTCCCAACCCGCCTGCCAGCCTGCTTGTGACTTACAATTTCCTGCCTACCTCCCATTCTGATTTTGCTTGTGGGAAGTCAATATGAAATTGCAAGTAAGTCCTCTCTTAATTATTCATGTTCCTCATGCAATCATTTCATCCTCGCAGACACTAAGTGATGTAGTCATGTAATATCACACTTTACGACTGCATCATTTAGCAATAGAAATTCTGGTCCCAAATCCCATTGTTAAGTGAGGACCACTTATATTTCAACTGTTCAACTACTTGTATTTGAAGAATATATAGACTTCTGTAGTCTGATTTGTAAAATATAGTGAAGAGTTCTTGAACGATTATGAAATGAAACATTAGCTCTATAGCAACCAGATCTTTCTTACATTAGCCATATCTTCCACATATATGGGAAGATTCAGTCAAAAAACATCACTAGGAGGCCCCAGGAACCCACTCATATATTCATAGAGACATATAGACACATGCACAACATACAGGCACTTAATCCAGAGGCCAAATCTTTTAATTTCCTTGCTTAGGAGTGTCTAAAAATCACATATTTGTGCAGCACCCATTATAACCTCATATCGAATTTCATTTATTTATTATTATGTCAATTATTCTTGATTATGTTCTTATGATGTTTACTGGCTTTATGTAATCTGCTTCTTTAAACATTAGGTTTGGGGTCCAGCCAATTCATTGATACCAACCCTGCAGTTCTTGATTCAGGCTTCTCTAGATGACCTTCGTCAGGATACTTGCTTTTAGATTTAGCTTTCTATCTATTAAACAGGATGTTGGTTTTTCTGGACACTGTAGAACAGAGTTTTAGCTTTCGTGTTGCTTTATGCATAGCTGGAGACTCATTTGTTAACAGATGTCGAAAGTTGGAGATTGGTATCCCTTGTTAGCACCCCATGGCCCTCTGCTATTGGACTCTGGACAGTAAGAATTTTTAGTGTTCAGATTTATTAGCCTGCATTCTTCCTAGTTAAAATTAATGTACAGTGAAATTCACACCAGCACAAAAGGTAATTTCAGACACTTAATTAATCCCTACTTAAGCCTTATTTAGATAGTGAAGGTGATGATACATTTCCTTATGAATGAATCTCCTTTTGCTAACATCTGAACCTAGTGGTCCTTCAAGAAGAATTTATAATTCAAGGTGACTAAAAGCTTCACTAGTTGGGTCATGAGTCACATTCTGTCCAATCCATTTATAAAGAACATGATAATGCTGTCCAATTTACAAACAGTGATGATGCATGGCCAAACATGACTGAGTCTTCATCATCTGGAGAAATTCAAAGAGAGCTTCTTTCTGTAAACAAAGAGAATTACATTTTTTCCTTTTGCAGAAACAATTACTTTGACTCTAAAAATAGAACCTCCAAAGAATACCTTGTTATTTACCTATATTTTAAAACATGCTATCATTTCTGGTATTTTTATTTCACTTTATTATCTATTTAAAATATAATATATCATAAATGGCAAAAAAAACCCTGTTTTTTGAAATTATGGAGGTAACTGAACTACATAGACAGTGGTTTGACATGAGGCAGCTTCTCATATGTGATATTTGCTCGGCTATGCAAAAATATTCAAGGAGTGCCTTGCGAAGGGCATTGGCGCAAACAAAACACCTTTCCTCAAAGCATAAAAGCAGCTGCACTTCCCAGAAGGTTCAGTACAGCTGCCTTAAAGGTTGTTACCAGATGTTTGATTCACTTCCCTGACCATCTCACTTTTAACTATTTTTGTGTCTGCACAAACAAATAAGCAAGGAAATCAAGGGAGCACTTTTGGAAGATCTTAATGTCTGTATAAAGCTTTTCTTTTAAGGAATCTGGGCTACAAACTGTGTATTCCAATTCTATACCAGCCTGAATACAGCAATGAAATTTCCAAATGATATTAACAGAAAACTCATCATTGTGTATTATAATAATCAAGTGAAATATGACTAGGGCATAGCTGGGACAGTCTGAAAATTATTCACAGCTTAAAAGACATTAGCTACATTTATAGTTGACTGGAAACCTTCTATGACTTTTTTGCATACAATGAAAAAAAACCTTGTGATTTATTTTTCTGATGATTAGACAGGATAAATTATAATCTATGGAAAGAAAAGTAAAGTGAGGTAACTTTATGAAGAGTATTGGAAGTCACTTCTTTATATCCATTTTTTTTCTTTTCCATTTTTCTCCAACTTTTCTTTACTCGTACTTTTATAGTACAGATACTTTTAAATCCTTACTATATATTAGTTCTTTTTCTTTAAAAGTTTTCATTTTATATATATTCTGTATCTTGTGTGTTGTGTGTGTAAAACTTTTAAAGAACAAATACAGGTACTAACAGCTATATATTACATATAGATATCCAAACACAAATCAGAATGTCAGAACATACAACTTGTTCCAAAGCAAGACTACCTCAATGAAATAAAAAGAACTTATAAAAAGAATTTACATATTGCCTGATTTTAGTTTATTGTCCCCATAACTCATTGTTGATCATCTAAAACAGGGGTGTCAAACTCACGGCCCGAGGGCCAGATCCAGCCCGTGAGTTGCTTTGATCTGACCCGGGGAACGGGGGGCTTCCTGGAAATAGCGAAGGACCGGCCCATGGTGCTTCTGCCAGTGAAAATGAAGTTCGGGAGGGCCACACGCTGGCAGAGGTTGCAGGTGGTCGTTCCAGCCAAAAATGGGGCTCAGGAACCCATTTTCACTGGCAGAGGGCTTAAGCCACCACAGGTGTCCCCCCCCATAAGTGAAATCATGCTGGCGGTGCCCACTCTGACCCCCACCCCCCAAGATCAAAAACAACCCTGATGCGACCCTCAATGAAATCAGAGTTTGACATCCCTGATCTAAAAGTACAAAAAGAAATCTGGAGGGTACACATATTTTCTTCCTTCACCCACAGACATTTTTTTTTAAAAAGCTGTATCTTTTTGTGGGCTTGCTCAATAGCCATGTGATTCCAAGAAAATACATATTATAGTTAAGGAAATAGAAGATGATGGCTGAAAAGTGTATCAAGCTACTGTTGTCACCTCCTTAACTCAAGTGCATGTTATCCTGGGGTCATGTGAACCCAATAAAATACACAGCTTCTTTTAAGAATATGTCAATTGACATTGTAAGCACAGCTGCATCACTTCTGATGCCCTTTTCCACTTCAAGTGCACCTCAGAAGAAAAAACAATTATGCACTATTTTATCAGAATGCTATTTCATATTTCCTTCTCCAGTAGATTGAAAATGGAATCAGCGCTGTGAGGGAGTTCTTTTGCAAAATGGAACACAGCACCAACAAAGAGACTACTGTTATCTTCTCTGTATTTCCAGGTAGGTTTTTTATTATACAAAAATTACCAAACTTACTTATTTTCCTAATTTTTACCTTAATACTTATCACTAAGTTTATGCTAGTGTACTGTGCCATGCTAACATCTATGTCTGTGCATTTATCTAATCTCTAAACAGTCCTATGAACAATTCTGGTCTCCTAACGAAGTCTTAACCATTATTTAGCCATCTTCATGTTAAGTGGGTCTATTGCTATTAGCTACTGTTCTGAACTGCTGATGAAGCATTGGCTTTGCAATTTTTCAGTCTGTGCTGGCGTGGGGAAAGGAAAGCCACTGTGCTGGCTGGTGTAGGTTTTCGGGGTGTTAAAACTGATGGGCTCAGCTTCCTCTTTCAGCTGCTCTGCTGCTGGTGTGTTGAAGTCCAAGCCTCTTTCTCCTTCCCCATCAATTGCCTACTGAGTTGAAGGGTGATTTTTTCTCTCTCTCTCTTTTTTCCCGTGTGACACAAATCTTCTTCCAAAACACACCTACACATTCACACTCTAGTGCTATTATTGTTTTCCTTTTATAGTTGGAAACCAAGCATGGTCCAGTACACTTCAGGCTCCTCTTCTTCCAGTAAAGAAAACAAAGGAAAAAGGAAGAGCTCATGCTGGCCACTACAAGGCTTTCCTTCTTTAAGCATTAGAAACAATTTTTCAAAGCAATTGGACAAGCAGGAATTTGAAGAAGTCTTTCTTTTCCCAATAAAAATTATTGGCTGAGCTAATCGTACTTCTAAATAAGTATTTTAGGAAAATATTAAATTTAGAAAAAAATACAACATATAGAAAAAACTCCAAAATATACTTTAAAAAACACAATGAAATAGAACAATCCTTAAAAGAAAAAAAAATCAAAAAAGAAAAAGATAAAAATTCCCCCCAAATGAAAAACTACTTTGTACACTAAACTTATTGTCACTGGTTTACTAATACCATATACTATACTATAATCAAATACAAAACCTATTGTAAAAGTATCATAAAAATCTAAGTACTACATGTAGCTTTGATTAGTAGAGAATAATGCTACTTCCAAGAGCCCTTTGCTAACTTGGGGAATAATGTCATCTACCTGCTTGGCTCTCACTCTTTCCCCTATCATCTCAAGCTAAATAGAGGAATGGCTATTTTCATTCTAATCAACTGGAGATACATACATTTTTTTTAAAAAAATTGATTTATATGCCGCCCTTCTCCGGAGACTCAGGGCGGCTTACAATGTGTTAAGCAATAGCCTTCATACTTTTGTATATTTATACAAAGTCAGTTTATTGCTCCCATTTTACCTACCTTAGAAAGGATGAGTGAGCCTCGTGAGATTTGAACTTGCAGTAATTGCAGGCAGCAGATGTAAGTGGATGTTAATAACAGTGCTTTAGTCTGCTGAGCCACCAGAGCTCCTTTTGTTTATTGTGGGTTATTAAGGGACTTACTTTGCCCCATTCCTGGACAGAATAAATATAAATGATATTCTTATTTAGAACAAAGTAGCATTGTTAAAAACATGTTTGATTTGAGTCAAAGCATTGCAACTAATTGGGAATAGTTTCAGGTGCTATCCGCATATTATCCTAACTGACATGCCCGAGTGGAGGCAGATTAAAGTTATCTTTAGTTGTTCTATTAAAGTAGGATTAAAGAAGTACGGTATTTACTGTTTTTTATTTTTATTTATTTTCATCATCATTTTTATAAATAACTCAAGGCAGAAAACATTTCTAATAGTCCTCCCTCTTCCCATTTTCTCCACAACAATCCTGAGGAAGACACTGAGACAGAGCGACTGGCCCAAAGTCACCCAGGTAATCCTGAAGTAGGACTAGTACAGGTAGTCCTTGATTTACAACATTTCGTTTAGTGACCGTACGACCTACGAAGTTACAACAGTGCTGAAAAAAGGGATTTATGACCATTTTTGAGGACGGTGGCAGCATCCCCGTGGTCACGTGATCAATTCATATGCTTGACAATCGGTTCATATTTATGACGATTGCAGTGCCCCCGAGTGATGGAATTTCCTTTTGTGACCTTCTAACAACCAAAGTCAACGGGAAAACTAGATTCACTTAACAACCGTGTTACTAAATTAACTACAGTGGTTCACTTAACAATTGTGGCAAGAAAGGTCATAAAATGGAGCAAAAACATTTGGAACAAATGTTTCACTTAGCAACAGAAATGTTGGGCTCAGTTGTGGTCGTATGTTGAAGACTACCTGTGCTCACTTTGTAGCTTGAGGCCTTAACCAGTAGACGAAACTGGCTTTCTTTTCCCACAGAAATTTTTTGCAAAGATTATGATCTGGCATGCCCTTGAGAATGTAGTTGCTGATGCAAATAGGTGATGTGAACTGACCAATTCCTATCATCTGCTTTAGATTGCTGAGGACACACACAAACATATTATCCTTTGATCATTCTTGTTGTGATTTTGCTTGGGTTGCTATGAAGAACAAAACAGATTTTGCTTGGGTTACTGGTACATGATCCCAGCATCAGTCAAGTTTACATGGTTCTTTTCAACATGAATTTCACAATCTTTTGAAAAATTCATGAAATTAACACTTGTTTAGGCAAGTGCTAGATCTGTAATTGTGAGCAAGTCACAGGTATGGAATAGCTTCACATGAATGGGCTATGATTGGGCAATTTGACAGGTGGCTAAACACATGTCAATCACCTATTGTTGGAGAAAAACCTGTGAGAAAATCATAATTTCCCATTTTATTATAACAAGGTTGAAACTGGTTCATTGTTTACTCAGTCAAGATTATGAAATTAAAACTCTGTCTCCAAATAGCTTATTTGTAAATATGTGTAGAGCCTAGTCAGTCACAGAGAAGTCATATTAGAAATCTCCAAAGGCAAAAGACACCCTCCCCATTGCCAAATATAATTTATTTATTTATTTATTATATTTCTATACTGCCTTTCTCCCGTAGGACTCAAGGCGGTGTACAGTCAAGAAAAATACAGACACACAAACATCATAAAATTGATAATTAAAATTATTACTTTAAAATATAAGCTATATCAACTTATATAAACAAAAAAAACTTGAATCATTTTTATTTATTTGTATACCGCCTTTATTATTTTTACAACTGAAGACAGTGAACACATCCAACACACTTCCTCCTCCTATTTTCTCCACAATAATCCATTATGAGAAGATTACAAGGCAGGCCTCAAGTAGTTTCCTATATGGATATAAATGAGGTCATAGTATAATAAGCATCCATAATGATATTTTAAAAAATATATGAACTAAGCAATTTTTCTTTCTGTTGTGCAGTGTAGGAAGCAATACTACATGACGCTGTAATATGCCCACAATGCCATTTAACTCAAGCAAACACACTCTATTTTCCATATTACAATTGAGCCTGGAATTTTGGTTGCAAGTCACTGCGGTCATAAGTTGAGTCATCATGTGATTGGCCTCAATTTTTCAATTATTTTTGCAAGCTGTTAAGCCTGAATTCAGCTTAGGTGTTTTTTCCAGAAAATGGCAAGAAAGTCATAAAATGTGATCATGTGACCGTGGGATACTGCAACCATTTGTAAATATGAGCTGGTTGCCCAGCATCCAAAATAGGATCACATGACTGTAGCGATGATGCTTCAGTTGTAACTTTTGAGCATTTATTTTATTTATTTATTTATTATTTTTTGGATTTATATACCGTCCTACTCCCGAAGGACTCAGCCAAAAAGATAAAACACACAAATTACAAAATTGTAAAGACAATATAAAAACCCATTAAATAATTTGTCCCAAAAACAAATTAAAACACTCCTAATGTTTTAAAACAATTTACAATTTACAATTAAAAGGGAAGTTAGTCCAGGCCAGCCTGTTGAAATAAAAAGGTCTTGAGGGCACGGCAGAAGGTGCGTAAATCCAGGATCCTCGTATCTCCGGGGGGGGGGGGGGGGGGGAGCTCATTCCAGATGGCAGGTGCCCCCAGAGAAGGCTCTCCTTAACTCTTTTAACTTTGAATGGTCATTAAGCAAACAGCCATAAATCAGACTACCTGTATATTCATCCTTCCCAGCCCCACTTGATAGGAAGATTGATACATTGGATGGTTAATTTTCTACTGGCAGCTGATGGTAGCTGGGAGGGAACTTGAAGATGGGATAATCTCACAATTGCTTTCCTTATCTTAATCAAACTCATTAATATGGCAGTATAGGCCTCTGCAATGGGGACAGCAAAATTTTTCCCACCATACATTCTGTTGGCTGAAGGGTTTGTTATAGTACTTGAATGTGCCTGTGTGGCTTTGCCCTCAGTAAAATTAAGTCATATTTCCAGTCAATTTGCTTTAGTATATGGCAACCGTGCAGAACTGAAACGCAATGCATCAGAATCAACCTGTGCTTGATTATATTCTAAGCTACTACATTAGCCTAAATGGAGATGTCTCCTTTACATTACTGGTGAACTAGAAGGATTGTCTTATTTTTGCTGAGCATATAAGTATGAGAAAACGTTATTGAAAGGCATCAGTTGGCAGGAGTTGCAAATAGAGTGCTGAAACAAAATAATGAAAGAGAGTGCTGAAAGAAGCAGGAAACTGGAAGCTAGAGCCCTCACCTCAAGGGAGATAGGGAAAAGTCTTCGTCCTGTCAGCTCCCACCAACTACAATGGAGGGCTGCTATGCATAAGGCCTCTCTGCACTGAACTTAAGTTTCTACATGCAGAGGTAAATGGCTTCATTCTGCCATTCCACTCTGCATGTAATTTAGCCTGTAAGTATACTAACTGAGGAATAAGGATTCAAAGTAAGCCTGCATAGATAGATTTCCTTCTGCATAGCTTTCTTCTGCTGTCAATCGGTACAGGCCGTTTATGAACCCACAGTGTTGTTGCAAACAGGGAAAACAGCTGCATAGCTCAAGAATCTCTACTTCAGCTTGCAAGAATTGGGCTAAACAGATACAGTACGTTTCCAGCAGTGCAGTAACCTATGCGCATTTACCTGGAATAAAGGTTTTACCACAGCAGAGCTTGTTACACAGTGACAATACTCAGATTTATCCTTATCGAACTAATATTGCTACTATTTTTATCTATGTGAATGTGCAAACATGAGTTTCCAGGAGAAGGGAGAAATGGTTTATGCCTGTATAGTATATGCAGATGAGGATCAATTCATTTTAATGCCTTATTTAACAAGCAATTAATTACTCAGTAATGATTACTTAAATCAGTTATCAGTGTAATGTTTTGTTCTGGCCCTGCTCTTTTCTGGCAGGTGGTCTCTGCCCAGTATATACAAGTACACATTCATGCATTACTATATTACATGCGTGCCTTAGTTGGTGAACAAAATCTATGCAGAAATTATTTCAACAGGAGTTGATCACTCTAAGTGACAAGGATAAGAAGCTGACTCATGTTAAGTCTGGTGTCTTTATACCCTTATTTTCAATGGAGGGTGGGTGAGTGTTAACTTTAAAGTCGCCATTGTTTTGGACAGGCAGAAACTTTACATCAGTCATTGTCCAATAAACTTCATTTTGCGTTTAAAAAAAAAAAAGAGACACTCAACTATTTTACCTTACAGGTTATGAACGCAGGGACCAAATCTACATGTCTGAAAACCCTTGGGTCACAGCAGAATATTATAAATGCATTATTTTCCATCTTTCCAGGCAAAGTCCATTTTAAATAACCGTTTTAAAAATCAAGACAGCCACTCGGAGCAGAGAGCCTCTCGTCTAGCGCCCACCCCTCCCCTCCCCTCCCCCTCTTGCTTTTTTTCTTTTCTAAGGCTGGAAGCTTTGAAGCATGGACGCAAAACAAGTTTGCTCAGTGACCTGCAGGGTGACGGAAAATCCTTGCCGGCTCTGTAAATGACCCAGCACTGATACTCGCTGTTAACGGTGCACTCAGCAACCTTCCTAATTTCCGTTATGCAGCCTGACATTTTTGGACCTACGGATTGGAGCTCAGCCCGGAGCCAACCAAAGCGGGTTTTTCCTCCCCTTTTCAAAAAACAACACGAAGAACAACAGCAGCAGCAGCAGCAACAACAAAAAAAAAAACACCAAACAAACCACAAAGCAAGCCAACCACATTTCTTGAGCACTGAGGCAGGTAACACAGATCGTAGGAAGGCGGGGAAAGCGAGATGGGAAAAGAGGCCCCGGACGGAGACAAAAGGCTCGCTAAACCAATAAACCGCAGGGCCGGGAACTTTTCTAATTGGCCGGCTGGTCAAATCCCAGGCTCTTCAAGCACTGGTGGGAGAGGAATAAAAACAAAAGCAAATGCCGCCGCCTTAAATAACGACTTTTTTTTTTCTCCCTCCCCCAGCAGGTGGCTTCGTTGCGAAGCGCCTTCAGACAATGGGAGCCCGAGCAGCGTTCCCTGGCGTCGACGAGCTCTTCGCTTCTCTTTTTCGGCGTTGGCATGTCTTCCCCTTCAGT